TTCCTGCTTTATATTTTTATATTTTAAAAGAAGCCACCTGTAAATACTATTTTCTTTTGCAAAAAACAAAAACAAAACAAAAACAAAAAACAAAACCCAAAAACACAAACAAATTACAGTAAAACATAAAAAAGTTCTCAAGTGGAAAGTTATCATTCCCAATGTTCTTGAGCTGTTCCTTCTTTAATCATTCTCTCACATTCTCCTTCACCAAACTTGGTCCACTTAACAGTAGTATGTTTTTTATTTTCTTTTTTAAGACTCATTCAACAGCTTAATTATAGCTAATAAATTCTGAGGTTGATAAAGTTTTTGTACTGTTGCCATTTTGACTAAGGCAGAGGAGATGAAAGTGAGAAAGGTATTCAGTGCAAAGTCAGATTTGTGCCATTTCATAAAATGAAGTCCAGTAGCTGTAATACTCACAGATAGATTTAGCAATCTTTCTCATGGGTTGATTTACTTTCACATAATAAAAACGGCCTATCATTTAGGATACAGTTTATAAACACTCAAAAAAAAAAAAAAATTACTACCGTAGCGTAAATGAGACCACATGTTCCCTGAATTTCTCCAAAATCATGCTAAAGTGGGATTTCTTTAAATTAAAACGGCTGTTTCAAAAATAAGCAAAAATAAAAATAAATATTTAATGTGGCACAATCTCACCACTTTACAGGTATACTAGAAACACAGACTCTTAAAGCATTTTTGATAGTGATTACAATTTTGATTAAATGGTATTAAAATTTATATATAAATTATGTGACAGTTGGTTTTGATAAAACATTCAAGAAAATCTTCAGCATTAATATTTCTTGTGGAGTTTATAATCAAAGCAAGCTACCTTTTAAAAATACCAGTACACCTGTGATACATCCTCTGCCAAGTCTCTGGCCTTCTACAGTACACACAGGTTTGTCAACTGTGCAACACCATTTACAGTTTATTACAAGTAAATCAGTCAGTCTCTCTGTTATATGAATCAAATTCAACTTTGTATTATTTATAAACTGGGGTTTTATTCTTAGTTAAAATGAGCTATATTTGTCAGCCCTTCACCAATTCTAAATGCTTAGTTGTAAGAGTAAAACATTTACACATCTGGGGATTCTTGCTTTAAAGGAAGTGCTTATCTCTAAAAAAAAAAAAAAAAAAAAAAAACCACCTATGCGAAGAATAAAAACCTACTTAAAAAAGTGAATGCAGTAGTACTACAAAGTCATCTGAAAGTTAACTTAGAAGTTTTTTTTTAAACTTTAGACCCAATGAATGCATATATATATATTTTTGTGACATTTAACTATACAAAAAAAGCCTTTTCCACATTGAAAAAAAATAGTATTTCGGTTTGCTGACATTGTCCTTCATGGCTATAGCATAGAAGTATCATTGACAAAATAACCCGATAGGTGAATATGGTAAATATTGATAGTATTTTAATTCTACAACAAAATTTTAACACATTAAAAAATCTGTTTTATTGCTGAACAATATTCTCTTTAAAACCTTTCATAAAACTGTTAAATATGTGCAGTGATAATCTAGGCTTTCAAAATTCAAAATATAATGAAGTACAATCTTAAAATTAACTCTGTGTAAGTTTCTTAATACACTCTGGTATAATTTAGATGATACTGTAAAATAATGTTCACCAGAAATAACTGGTGTGGTTTTCATGCAAAGAGAGAGAGAGTAATGCATGATTCATTCCTTAGGAGATAATTTATGTGCATTTTTTCTTGTTTTAAATACAGTGGACTTCTAGTATCGCTAGAGATGAACACTGTATCATCAGAAGATGGGAATGTTTTAAAAGAAGGTGAAATGGTACCAATAATTATTTTTCAGCGACTTGTAAGTCACAACCCCAGAAGAAACATCTAGGCCCTTTATAAAAAATAAAATAAAATAAAATGTGTTAAGTAAGTAAACATTACAATGATGATATGAAGCAAGAAATAAGTAAAACCCCTGTGCTTCATCACTGTATTTACTAGTCTCAGGCAAATATCTAACTAAAGAAATAGGTATTTTTACCTGCCCCCTGAAGCCTACTACACGCAGATCAAGAAAGATCGTTAACAAAAACTGAATTTGGCAACATGAGGTCAAACTTTTAAAGATAAACAAATCCTTAACATCCATTGCTGTTGACAAAAAACAGTTTTTATCTTTTGGAGGGGGGGCAGATATGGGCTATGAGCTTATTCTGATTATTCCCTGCTGCCCACTGAAGAGTTTTCAAGAAACAGGAACAAGCCTATGGGCTGTAATAGTGTGAGGCAATATAAAAGAAGCAAATTTCTAGAAAACTTAAGTAGTGTCTGTACATCAGCTTTACATTTTTTGTAAAGCATGAGATCCTTACATAGGAAAGGTAAAAGTGTTATATAAATACTGCAAGTATCCAGGAGGGCCATTTTTACTGTATTGACTAAAATCTGTACTGTTTCTCTTAGTTAATTTATATGAGGTTGGGAGAAGTGAAGTGAAGTCTATATTAGGAGATGTCAGATGTGTCACCTGAATTTGGTTTTTGAATACCACAATATCATGGAAGCCTGCACAACACTGAATCTGATGATAGCAGAATAATAATACTTGGCATTTACATTACGCTTCGCATCCTGAAAGCCCTATACAGACAAGAACCCCCACAACACCCCTGTGAGGTAGGGAAGTATTATTATCCTTATTTTACAGATGGGAAAACATACACAGAGAGATTAAATGACTTGCCAAAACCCACATAGAGAGTCAGCAGCAGAGCTGGGATAAGAATTCAGGAGTTCCTGTGCTCAGCTCCCACAGCTTCCTAGCCAATGTCAATAAACCGAAAATCACTTTTCTCAATAAGCTTAAATACTTCATTCAGGGGTCCAAAGGCTTGCATTTGAGGAACAGGAGAAAAATGAAGATTTATTTTCCATTCAACAGTTAGAGAGAGATGCCCAAATATTGGATGTCATCTCACCAACAGGACTTCAAAAGTTGCTTCTCCTTCAGGTTACACATTTTAGCAGCAAAAGACAAATACCAAGAAATCCATTTTGACAAAAAGCCAAAACACCCCCCCACCACTGCCCTTATTAATTCAAACTCAAACAACTTTTGAAGTATTATCTTCACAGCCCTTACCTTTCTGAATTCAGTCAGGTATCTGAGAACATGCATCCTCCTCAAAATATACAGTACAGTGGCTCAAAAGTTTATTGGAAAAAAGGAAAATCTAAATCTTCAGATTTCTCCAGACACAGACAGGAGGCATTTATTCCTTTACTTCTTTCTCATTAAGCAACCATCCATTCATTTTATTTTGCAACACCAATCTGATATTTCCACACCAATTAAAAGACTAAATTTTGGGGGGAAACAAATTAATTATTGCAGCATTGAATTCATAGTGTTTCCTGAAGCAGATGGATCTTTAAATAGTTTTAAAGAGGGACTTGGTTATAGCATTTATATTAAATATATCACAAAGTTTATATATCTTATTTAGCTGGGAAAGCTAAGTTTACAAAATGTTTATAAAACTGCAAGCATTCCCAAAGCTCTAAGTTATTAACTATTTAGATTTTTGAGGAAAAAATAACGAATGGGTCAAATATGGTATTTGGTTAACCAGCTGTGGTGTTGCAAATCTCATGTACACTCAAAGCATTTCTTACAAACAAGAACTGCAGAACTAAACTAACCTCGGTCTGCGGTCACAATCCTTTGGTAAGGATGGACACGCATATCGTGCCTTCGAACTTTAGTAGCCACCGCACCTAGTTAAATTGCAATTACCAAGACAAAGTTAGAAAACATTCAAAGAAAACATTAACAGCAGGTTTATCAAAATGGATTTAAATGATCATTAACTACAAAAGTTCATTTTAAGAAAAGCAACAAGTTAAGGCACAGTAGTTTCAAATCTTAACCTTAAGAAGTTTTTCTGTGCAGATTAATATTGCATTTATTTTAAACATCCTGGCCTTAACCTGTTTAATCCATTCATTTACAATCCCAAAATTACAGTATTTCATGAAATCTATTAGACCCAAGCACATTTAAGCTTTACTAGTCACATATTCACTGAAGTGCCTTTCTTGCAGCAGGACTATTTTAAATAATGCCATTTTTTTAATACTGACAATTATTTGCTAATTTTAAGATCACTTCCAGTTCTACCACAAATAAAGTTTTAAAGCAATTCTTCAAGCCTACAGATTGTGATTTTAAATTTTAAGTCAATAAGTATGAACTGCAATGAATTAGGTGATTAGTAAAGCAAACACTATATAAAACACTTAGCAGTCAGTATACTACTATACACTCATAAATTACAGCTACTCTGTAATAACAGGGGCTAATCCAAATTAATAGCACTAATTTATTTTATATCTATGTGCAAAAAAGTGCAAGTAAGTCACTGACTGCTAGGCCAAGCTTTTTTCAAGGCTGCTGAAACTAAGCATTTGTTAAAATTCAGATCTGATGAAGGATCGGTTTAGACCGTTCTTGAATTCTTAGCCTTTCGTTGGGAAAGCCATACCTAAAGATAAAAGGAAGGGAATTAAAAGTTAGTCACCAACTAAAATTTGATCTCAACACCAATATCCCAAAAGTACTAACAGGGACACATTGCTCTTATTTTTAATGGAATTATTTTAAGACATTGTAATAGTCCACCACCAAGTGGACCGAATTAAGTATATTATTAATGAGAATGAGTACATTACAAATTAAAACTCCGTGAAAGACTCATTTAATTCAATTAACTGCATACGATTGCTCAGATGATAGAGCAAGTGTATTAGAATAAATGATCCTATACTACCTAAATGGCAGGGTTTTTTGTGTGTAAGATTCTTTGGTGAAATCTACTCTGTGCAATTCACCTGTGCTCTCAGCTATGCCCTAAAGTACGTAACAGTAATTTTAGGAGCCATTCTCCCTCTTCTCCTTCTATATAAAATTTTGCAAGAGATCAGTGAAAGTTCCCTGCATCGTACTATGTTATTACTATACAATGAGGTATTTCTCTAATAGGTATCAAATGAATTGGGGGAGGGGGAAGGGGGGCTGCCACTAAGCAGCAACTGACAACTCTTGTTGACACCTGTAACTGCAACTTCATCACAGAAGGTGTTGTAGGTGCCACAGTGAGGACTCACAAGTCGGGCAGGTGGGGAAGCTGGGGAGAGCACGTATATGTTTGTGAGAGATTAATAAATGATGACGTTATCATACTGTCATTGAATTTTGGGTATGGCATAATGGACAACAACCTTAAGCTGCTCAAAGATAGCCCTGCTACATACTTCTGCCCTACTAAATTTTTATTAATGACTCTCACTAATCCTGAAAGGGAGAAGTCCGAAGTACATTTAATGCAGTAAAAAGGAAAACGTAACATGGAAACATGCACACATAAAAATAACACAGAACAACTATTCATCGCCGAAGTGAAACACTGGCTTTTTACATTTCTTTCAACAAAATACTGGCTTTGAAGCTCATTTTCTGATGTTCATCAGAGATGTTTAGAATTTGTGTAAATCAATAACTGCCACTGAACAAACTAAGAACAAAGTCCTATAAAATCAACAACATTATGCAGGACCAAGGTCATATGCAATTGCGAGCAAACTAAAGAGACAAGATTATTTATATTCTGTAAAGAGTAGGGATGGAAGAAACTCTATTGGAACAGCTTGTTCCATATTGATCAGCTAACTGAATTGTACCAGATGCTATATTATTCTCGCCTTGCTGTATCAAGTCAGTGGTCTGAAATATTACGAATGATGGACATTTCAATCCACTGTATATAAAAGAAGCCATCAGTAAAGTTGCTGAGTGTATCATCCTTTGGTCAGAACTTACGTTCTTTTATATTTATTCACTGAAAATATTTTCTGCTTACAAAATGATTTACAGCTTTGTGACGCTAGGGAGATTTATCCACTATGCACCATATAAAGCAGCAAAAAACAAACTGGGGGAGGGGGGACACACTTTTCAATTCTCTCCAATTTTGCTACCAAAAAGTTTTAGCAAAATCAAAAGTTACCTCTTTAAAGACTGCCGGAAATTAATTTATGTTTAAGAGAGCAACAAACAAATGTGGCATTTATGACAGTACAAATGATTTGTTTTTCTTTTTGTCTATGTATCCATCAACTAGCACCACACAAATGTCAAATGTTTTCTTTTCAGTAATCTTCCTAATGTATTAAATGCACCTATTTAACAATGCAAACATATTAACAATGTTTAAGAGTTGCACCATTTGAGCAGTCTTCCTAGGCAATTTATTTTTATTTTTCAATACCTGAGGAAAGATTGGTGTCTCAAAGGTTTTTTTGAGCCCCACGATCTCTATCTTTAAAATACCAAAAAACCAGATACAGTCATCTGCATATGAAAATCTTACCTAATACACCACTAGGTTCAATAGGATACTCAAGGATTGACGTAGCTGGTGCCAGCGTGTAGGGGTATTCGTATGGTGTGTAAATTAAACCAGCTTCGGGTCCTGGTGGAACTATTGCAGCGGTCGGATGAGGAGTTCCGTTTGGCATGACAGCGGTTTGTATTTGTCTGATCAAAGGCATTATGGTAGGGCCAGCTGGCGTAGGGGTACGCAGGGCAGCTGGTGGGAGAACAGGCGCAGGCCCAGTAATAATCCTTGGAGCCTGGGCTGTTGCTGCAAGAGAAAAGGCAAGGGCTGCTACAGTAAGCAAAGAAATTCAGGAGAAAGTATAGAGACAGCAGTACAAAATGTGGAAAGAATGGGAAAAAAGGGGAAAAGTAGGAAAGAAGAAAAATAAAAGGAAATCATTAGTACATGCGCTGATCACACAGTGCCAAAGCACACCATTCAAATGCAAACAGCTTTCCATTTTCCAGTGTGATTAAGTATGAACATGCAAAATAAAAAAGCCATTGTAAAACAGTGAGGTAGATTTCTCAAACAGGTTACATAGCACAAAAGCTCCATTTAGACCACATTTCTTCACTTATGCTATCAAGACTGCATGAGACCGAGATGCATGCAGGAGATACAAGGAAAACACTGTCATAATCAAATACAGAGTACAAAATGTAGTGCAACTACAGAGTCCACAGATACTCAGTTATGCAGAGCTGCCATAAGAGTTCTACAGCTTTTGTGTGTCTTAAAATTGTATTTAAACATATCTACAACTCCAGTTTCTAGGATCAGTGAAGTTAAAGACCTGGAAACAGAATGCCTCTCCTCTCCCACTGTAGGATGAATAAAGCCATCTCCATACCAAATTCCCCCCCCCAAAAACATTTCCTTGCATATTAGAAATTCACTATGGCCTTGTTTATGTTAAAGGGAACAGGTCCTTTTCTTTTCTTTTGTTCTTGCTGTCTTATTTTGTGTTGTTCTACATTGATTTAACAGGTGGTCAGAAAATAGGAATGTGTGGAGGAAGACGTTCAGACTTGGACTTTTTTTTAAGTTCACGTCTAGTGTAGAGTTAAACCCCAAAACAATTTGTTCTTTTCCTTTTTTAAAGTGAAATAAACCACTACGGCTTCTGTATCTTTAGGTTTTCAGTTAAGTCAAAACATTAAAAGTGTTCTTTATCAAAAAGTGAGTATTAGTATGAAAACCTCTGGTTAAAAAGTGAAAAAATTCCCATCATCCCTACTTCTACTGATGCAATAGACCAGTGGAAATAAATCAGACAAAGAAATTGCTCAGATTGATATAAAAGTTTCTGTGCAACAGTTAGTTTCAAATTAGCTTAATAGGTGCAATTTTACTTATAAATTTGCATTAAATTAGGGACTAAAATAGGTTTGAACCTGATTTAGCTTTAAACACTATGGTGTTGATTAGCGGTGAAAGACAAAACCAACCATTGTAGTGACAAAAGCCCTTGCTTATTTCTCTTTTCAAATCAGAATAATTACACTAGTGTAAGCACTCTCAAATTGACATAACTGCATTCCAACCTTTAAACTTATCCAACATTGAAACAGTGACTATGTAGAGAAACAATTTTGTAAATACCAGTAGGCCCTTAGTGAAAAGACTGATTTAACTGTGCTTACATTTGACATCTGTATCATAGCTACAGTAAAAATTTACTTTGGAACAGTATCAGCAATTACATTTTCAGGAATAAAATTTAGGTTTAAAATCAGAGAAAAAATGTTTATCACATATAGCAGGCATACGCTGTCATTAACAGGTGAACATAATTAACTTTCAAGTGTAAAACTGTGCATACATGTGTTTGCAAAAGCATTCACACACCAAACTAATGGAAGAAATGGTAAAAACGGCTCATTACATCACTGATCTCTGTGAACTCATGTGTGAAATCAGTTGATGAATCATTGGAAAAACATATCATTGGGGTGACACATGCAAGTAAGATGAAAGGAAGGAATATAATACAGAAAAATGTATTCACAGTATCCTGAACATCTGTAACATTCTCAAATTAATCTCTAAAAAGTAAAATTGTAAAGGAGTCCATTGTCTTACACATATATATTAAGAAAAATATCATAAAATAGAAAAATCTGGCTTAAGGGTTGAATTTTGATTAAACTGCATGTTTGTAAATATTTCAACCCATACATACTGTTTGGGGGAAAAAAAAAAAAAAAAAAAAAAAGAGAGTGGGGGAGTTACAGCCCATCTCCAGGAGATCCTCTGCAACTGTAAACTACTGTTCCGCGCTGGCTGTTTACTGCCTTCCAATCGTCAACGTTACTACTGTACGTTTGCCAAAAGGTAGCTTTGGAAAACAAAACATGTAAATACTACTGTTGCACTGACCCTCAAGATTATGACATGCTTACGTGATTTGATGTTGGCATCTCTGTAGGTGCCATTCAGAATTGCAAGCTCCATCAGCTGCATCTTTTTAAGGCTGTCTTCTCCTTCTGCCTGCATATGAAAAGATGGGAAGAAAGTTAGGCTTACTATTTCACTAGCACACAAGGTCTGAGGGACCTAGAATAAGCGTCTTCAAGTTTTAACCCCAGAAAATACCTGTTCACCATTAGTCACAAAAGCAGTAGGTCTTGTTAATGTTTCCTTAAAATGAAGTGCAAGTTGTCTGTTGTCTATCACAAACTGGTATTGATAAAACATTTTAGACGGGAAAGTGACCCATGCCATAAATTATAAAAATAGTGTTAAATATAATTGTGCTTGATAAAAGCTATATAAGTAAACTTTCTCTCTAAAGTTTTAGTAAAATAAATAAATGCATACATACTCCTAAAGGTTTTTTTTTGTTTTAATTGCTGTTATTAGCGGATTAGAAGAAGAATAAACACCATTAATTTCATGTCATTACAATCTGCTGTGACATGATCCACTGCAGTGGATACTGACTACTTTAGAAAAAAGTCGCTTTCCACACATGACTTTAAAAACTGCTTTCAGGTAAAATTCATAATTTTGGTACATGTGCTCTGATTAGGATACAACTATTATCTATAAAATATACACTACTATTAGTTTTTCAATCAATATAAATGGCCTCCTTGGAGCTATCTACTCTTTCAGTATCCTGCAGCTAGTATAAATATTATGCAATAATATTCAGTATTATGCAATTCAGAATATGCAGAATATTATATTCAGAACATTCAGAATATGCAATTCAGTAATAAAAAAAATTCCCCAAGAACTCAGTTACTAACCAAAAAAAATTTTATTTTGCACAACTTTCCAGTATTAAGACTAGATATTTTCTGAACTGCTTTTCCAGAAATACTGCCATTTGCTTAGTCTATATTCTATGAACAAGATAACAATACGAGATTCAGTAAAGATGTACGTATCATCCAATTGAAGGTCATCAGCGTCTACTTTAACGGTAAGTTACCATCTTGTATTCTCAGATTCTATGCCGTTACTGAAACTCTCACTTAGATGGAAAGGGGAGCAGCTTAAGTGTCAGCTTCATTGTATTTTTTTTTCCTTCCCTAATTAAAAATTTAAGAAATCTAGCTTATCTTATCTATTATTATAATATTTTCCAGATATTTCAAATAGGATTTTCCAAGGTAATGGGTGAACCTGGGTAATAAGATAGCGTGAAAATACTAGAAAGTCTGGCATCAAGGAGAGTTGTTCACCTGTCTTAAACTACAACTCCTGTAGATGGTTTGAATTAGGACTTCCAAGAGCACTAGTAATTATGAAAAATAGAATTAAAAGCCACAAAGAACAGTAATCACTACCAGTAAATACCCAAGTTTGCTTCTGTGACAGCATTGCAACAGTGAAACATGTCTCTCAAATCACTTCAGTTGATAGGAATATCTACATCTAGTTGTTATGAAAGTTTAGGGAAATATTTTTTCAGACCAGTTTAAGGCAAAGAATTGTTATACAAACTTTATTCTCGAAACTTGAAGAAGTAATTTACTAAGTTACAAAATAAAAAGACACAAAAAAGTTTTAAACTATTTAAAAATACATCTAAGCAAATATACCGCACACCTAGTGTGAGGTATGCTCAAGTATTCCTCCCCTCCCCCCAACTGCTGGACACTTTCAACATCTTTTTTTTTTTATTCCGCCTTTATCAAGCAGCAGGGAATGAACACCATAAGATCGGTCAAGATTGAATTACTTTCAGATGCGAGAGATGAATATCCTAACTGTAATACCGAGACGTTACATAACAGAGATTACACACGGTAACAATTCAGGCAATTCTGAAACGTGAGGTAGCAGACTGATTCCACACAATGACTTTAACATAAATAGTTAAAAAGTAAATACATATTCAATGATCATCTTAACTATAAACTAATTATACAATTAAGTTCTGTACTATCCACAGACCTCAAACTCTATAGTCTTTAAAATCAGACACTCTGGAATATAAAACGCACCGATTATAGCATGCTTAATATGGCATACTCAGAACAGACTTGCAATCTACACCCATAAGTTGCTTCGTTTTAGAAATGAACATTCCATTGCATCACTGCTGGCAAATTAGGCTATGAAGTCAATCATGAAGCAATAAACAAATTCCAAATCTATCTTTCTATCCAGAGCTCTCAAATTCTTGTCACTCTGTATATTAACTTCATTTCTCTAATTTATTTTAGTAATAAAGGTTTTTTTTTTTTTTTTTTTTAAGACATAGATTTCCTTTTCCTTTCTAACAGTTACACTTTTGCTACTGGCTTTTGCCCTCCTCCGCTCCCACTTCTTTTTCTTTTTTTAAACTGAAACAACGAAACAAAAACCTCTCAGTGTCAGCTGCATCTCCCATAAAGCTCCATTAATGTTACTAAACTTGTTCAGTCTCTCCCAAAAGAGTTCAGATGACTGATCTGACAGCCATTAATGAGTCTCAGTAAATGCTGAATCTTGCATTCCATTTGCTAGGATAATTTTAGTAACTCTGTAATCTCAGATTTCGGACCACAGTGAATATTTTGCAAATGGAATTATTTATAGGATAATAATTTTAAGATAGAAAAGATTCTTCCTTTCTGACATCCTCCAAAGGAAGAGCTATACAAACTTAAAAGCAACGGAAGACAAAGTAATTATCCTTACTCTGGATCTTTAACATTTTCCTATAGGTCACTACGCTTCCTGTGAGAAAAGGCGAGGCAATTATCTAGGCTTCACAAAGTACATTTATAACTATAACAGTGGACTTCAGCATCCAAAGCAGATTAAGGCCTTTATTATTTTGGAGATTTACTTGTCTGGAATACTACTCAGAGGTTGATAAACTTTCATTCTTTTAGAAAAGCTCCAAAGCATACTTTTTAAAAAGACTTCTGCAGAGTTAGTAACAGTGATACTTCACAGATATAAGAGGTGGATTTGCATAACCAGGCACATTAGCACCGTCTTTCAATTTTTGGCATTTTTTTTTTCAAGGTGTATATTGAAAGTGTGTGTGGAGGTGGGGGGGGGGGCACGACGACACTTTACCACTTCTTTGCTGCTGCTCCCAAGGGCATGGTCCCGACTCCTCCCAGAAGATGGCACTGTTTGTTACACAATACTATCACCTCAGGACATGGGTGCTGCACACTCTTTGCACTCGCTCGGCTAGTGCTGCTGGTTCTGCTCCCCCGCTGCACCCTACACGCTTGCAGGAGCTGCTTGCCACCTCTTGTCAAGCTGTTAGTCACAGAAGTGGTGAGGACCCTTTTGCATATCCCATCACGTACGCCGTGATACCAAGTTCTCTACTTGAGCATCATTTACCAACAGCCAAAACCTCATGACGCAGGAAAGAGAAATGGGCCCATGCTTTTGTCTGACCTAGCCTCTCTCTCTTCAAAACTGACAGATGATCAAATGAGGCACATGGATGCAATCTAGCTTCGCTTCAGGCGTTTCTGCAGGCACTCTGTTAAAGCAAAGAGAGGTTGCACCAGGGATACAAAGGCAGTCTCTAAAGGGACAATACATTACCTGTACAGTATCTACAAAAAAGCTCAGTCATTTGTACCAAGAGGAAGCTACTTTCAGCAAACATCAATAAGGTCACTTAGAGCCAGATTTGCATTGCTTAGCTGAAGCTTAAGCGATTGACTCAAACCTATCATCTTCTTAATTCTTCAGTGCTTTCCCTTGTATTTCTCATGTACAATATAACATGCAGATTAAGGGAAAAACCTTAAATGGTTATCTTGAAGTGTAACTCTGTAAATGTGAGCACTTGCAGCTGCTCACTGAATACAAACACGGAAGAGCTGTAAGGAAGAACTGCTATCAAAGCAGACTCTGCACAGGCAGCAGCAATTACCTCTTGCGAAGCAGCGGTCACTGTTCCTCGCAGTAGTTCAGCTATGCTTCTGCTAGCAATGAAGAGACCTGAAGGAGACCGAATGCCAGTGCCCACCCACGTTTCAAGTACCTGGTTTTTCAGTCATCATCAGAGTAGGATTAACAGCCACAAGGTTTAAAACGCTAGTAATAATTGGTAGCTCCATCAAGTCTCAGTGTTGTTAGTATAGCTGTATATGTTTATACTTACTTAGTATTAGAACTGATGGAGAATTTTTTGTTGTCATTATTTAGTTGCAATTACCCTATTTCTGAAAGAATCGGATGTCATGATGTTTTAAATCTTCCCGTTTCGCTTTTTTAATCCTTCCTAGAAAGATACAGAAACATCAAAAAGCGACCAACTTTGCCATCCTTTCCTGGAAAAGGCAGAAGACTAGTTTAAACCCCTGGGGTAGAGGGGAAATACCTGCTGTCTGCTTCTGAAAGCAGGTTTGAGGCACACAAAGTGGAATAACAAGAGATCTAGGGAACACTTCCCAAAATAAATCAAAATAAAATGCTCAGTGCTGACCATACTGACACCCAAATAAAACCATGATTCTCTCTCCTATATTGGATAATACTAGCTGTTTCAAAGAAAGTTGAAGCTATTAAAAGTTATGCAATAAACTGCTATTAGCAAGAGCTCGTTTCACGTGCGGGAATAGGGAGCTTGGATAAAGCACTCCATTTCATCTCTTTTTCCCCCCAATGACTTCTTTTCAATATCAGTGTCCAAGCTTGTCTTGAATCCTGCTAAACTTCAGCTGTCCCCAGATCCTCAGAGGTATACTTGCACTTAACTAATACTTCTGAAATCATTATATTTTAGTCACCTAAATGCCTCAGATTTCCGGCTGTGGCATTAATTATACCTTGCTATGCAGCTAGCCTACGGAACTCACTCACTCTCCTTATTTTAATATCTCCACTGCTAGTTTTCAAAAACTGTATCATTTGCTCATTTTATCAAAAAGTGTAAACAGCAGTAGTCAAGCTACCTTCTCTATGGAGTTTTATTTTATATTATGTTGTTTTGCAATGTGAATTTACTTTTTGCACTTACAGAATAAAGAAAGGATAGAAGATATTTTGTAAAATATAAAAATTCATTTGGGGTA